AGGGCCAGCTTCTGCTACTTCCTGGCTCTATGACCTTGGACCTGCCACTTAACCTTTCTGAGCCGTAGCTTTCACTTCTGTCAATCGTTCACTGGTGTAACAAACCCTGGTTGTGAAAATACAGTGAGATAAAGCAAGTGTGCACCCTTAGGCCTGGCACAACACAGAAGCTAAGCAGAGGGCAGGAAAAGCTTTCTTTCCATTACTAACTTAGAATTGCTGACACACATTGAACCTGCGCAGTGGTTTCTTATGAGCTACTAGGCAGATTTTGGTTTCTATATTCTCTCTTCTTTGCAGAGCAGACTCATCAGTGATTCTGATTCTGGGGCTGGGCATTACTAGGAGCACACGCCTGTAATCCCAGCACTCTGGAGGCTGAGGCAGGAGGATCATTGTGAGTTCGAGGCCAACATGGGCTACATAGTGAGCCTGAACTGCATAGCAAGACCCTGTCCAAACAAACCAAAAGATTCTGAGACTAATGTACGCTGAGGCTCAACAAAAAGACCGGGAGGGTGTCCCAGCCAACTATGTTTCTCCTTGCTTGAGGAAGACTCTCTTCTGTTCAGGTTATGCCTATACTCTGACCATGAAAGAGAGAGAACTGTTTGCAGGAGTTCGGGATCCTCCAGGTGGTTGGGACAGGCAAAAGGACCTTCTTCTGGCCAGTCCGGGTGATGCTGTGTTAGCAGCTGTGTGCACCTGAGCTGGAGAAGACGTCTGTGCTGTGCTCTCTCAGTGCATGTGTGTGCACTTGCCCGGATTCAGCAGAGGAATCGGCTTGCTCTGCCCGGTGGGGGCCTGGGATTAGCCAGCTGTCTAATGTTAGCTGAAGCTGCTGCTGGGACAGATGTTTTTTTGCTTAGAGATTCATTTTGGGGTATTTGGCACAAAAACTTGAGGTAAGCAAAAAGTGCTCAAGGATTCGTACTCTACATAAAACCTCTTTATTAGCAATCTAGCTTAATGAGCAGATAATCCCGAGTCCTGGAGATAATCATCTGCTACCAACTGAACATATTTGATCGGATAATAGTGTAGGAAATGGTGGGGCCTCTGCCCCGGGAGATCCAGAATGGCTCTTGGAGCTCTGAGAATCTAGCTAAAGTTGTTTTTTAGTGTCTAAAATTCCCCTCTGCTTTGCACTCTATCTCAAGGCTGCTGGTTTTTATGAAACACAAGATCATGGGGGAAGGAGGTGATGGAAGGGAAAAAAACCTAAAAAACTACTTTCAGAAGTTGGCCCTGTTGCTTGTGTGCTGTGTGACCGGGTTACCCTTCTGGCCTGGCTCTTGACCACGCTAATACCTTTTATGGTATTCGGGGAGCAAAGTTCCCTTACACCCTGGGGGTACAGAGAGGACCTCCATTCAGATGGGAGAAGGGAAGCTAAACTCAGCACTGGTCACGCCCTTACAGAAGGTCTTTGAGTTCTCAAATCTTTGGGGACACCTCAGTTACAAGTCATCCTGGACAAGAGGTCTGGCCCTGCTAGAGCTAGGAAATTGTGGATACCGACAATGCCATGCTGATCAGTTCTCTCCCATTCTGCCTTCTGGGGTCTCGCTGCCTCGCACAGGTACTTTGTTCCTAGGAAGTTCTGGAAAAGTCGGAGGAGGGCTGGTGAGTGTGGCTGGAATTCCCATCATTCTCATAAACCTACTCCCTCCTCAGCTCACTGCAACCTGGCTTGCTGGTCTACCACAGAATTCTCTTACCTTTTGTCTTTTTCCATTGTGCATCTGGAATATTGTCTCCCCTCCAGAGCTTCAGGTAGCTGGTTTTCTTAAAACAAGTGAAAAAAGAAAGAAGCTAATTAGAATGAGCCAAAGAAGCAAAGATATCGAACAGTTAAGATCTTACCTAGTTCATTCAGCTTTACAAAATCTTATTTACCTTGAATGATATCCCCATGTTTCTTTTCATTCTCCCTATGCGTTCATACATCAAATCAACATGCTATGACTTGCTCTAGTAAAGTGGAACTGAAGGTCAAGAATCCAATCACCTAGTAGCCACAGGGACACGTTTTGGTGTAACACTTGACTGGTTAACAGATGGAATTTGGGTTATGGAATCTATTGGAGCCCACAGTGGTCATCAGCATAGTTCTCTCAATAAAAGCATGGCTATTCACCTGTGGAGCCCCTGTCTACCTTCACCAGTTCCCTCAGGCATATTCCAGCACTTGAGGGGTTGGTGAGTCCTGCGTGCATCTGGCTTTCCATCCCCCCACAACTCCGTGGCAGAACTCTCTCCTGGTATCAAGTCTGTTTTAGTCTTTAGTGTGAGATGTAAGCTTAGCAAGGCTAAGGTAGGGCAGGCTCATTGCAGGTCACCTTTGCCTGGCCTGGATAGAAAGTTTACACAGTCACTGGGTTCCCCCTTTCCCCAGACGCAATTGTAGAGATGTACATAGCTCCTTGGGTAGGATTTGCAAGGACACCAGAAAAATCCTCTGGTGCTTAGAAACTGCCCCCATCGACTGGCATTTGTGTTCAGCATCTCTGAGCCCCACCCTTTCTGTGCTGAGACAGCCTTGTTTCCCTCCCCGCCCTGGGAGTTTCTGTATCGCTGTGACCACAGCACCGGTGGGCACTGTTGACCTTCCTGCAAGGTCAGGGCTGGGCCCTGGGGCCCGAGAGGCAGAGGCTCCAAAGCCACCAGGCCTGGGAGCTCTGGTGAGTGTGCCACTGCCCTTTTGCCTCAGAATGGTGCGGCCCTTGCCAAGCTTGTGACAAAGGCCTCCATTGCTTGTTGCTCGGGTGAAGAGGCCTCCAGAGGCCCCACAGTGAACTGCTTCACTTGGGCCCTGTGACTCTGGGAAGGAAAGTGACAGACATGTCTGTCTGAGCAGTGGGCGTGGGAGCCTCCGTTGGTTTCTGGATTCTCCATGGAGTGAGTCTGTGTGTTCGTACCACTACCTGACCCACGTTCCGGGCAAACTCTAATCCCAGAGAAGGGAGGGTGATGGCTGGGCCGGAGGCAAGGGTACAGCTTCCTGCTCTTCCCAGCCTCCCTCAAGATGGCCAGAGGGCTCTGGCTCTCTCCTCCCTGGTCTCCTGGCTTCCTGTCAGCCTGTATTGCTGTCTGTCAGTCTGTCTTGAACTGTCTCAACTCACAAAGCGGTCACCTGTCCTGCCGTAGGCTGGCTTTGTTCTCTTGGGGTTACCTAGGCTGGGGTGGGTTAGACAGCCTGAGCTTCTGGTGGGGCTCTGGATCAGGTCTGAAGGCCCAGTTTTCCTCAGTGACTCCCTGGGGGCAGGTCCTGTGTTAACAAGTCCCAGAGGTGGCCGAGTTTCCAGAGCCAGAGGTTGGTGGCACCCTTTCCAGTGGAGGCTGGGCTGTGTCTTTCCTTGGTAACTTCCCCAGCCTGTGGACTCCTCCTGCCTCCCCGAAAAACTCAGGCCTGTGTGCCAGTCCCTAGGCACCTTTGGAGATTAGTGATGGTGCCCAGAAGGAGGCCACCTGAAGAGCAGGAGGGAGCCCAGCATCTTTCTCTTAAAGGTCAGTGAAACAGTTTCAGGTAACAAATGTTCCTACAGCGCAGAGACTGAAAGCCAGGGGTGCATAGACAACAACTCAGAAACTCCTTTGGGGTTCACATCTGATATGGGATAATCAGATCTCACCCCAGTGCAGCGCAGGCCAGGTTGGTGGCCTGAAGCAGACACTTGGGACTGTCTGCGCCCCTCCAGTCCCCGGAGGAAGAGGATAGGGCAGAGGTTCAGCTAATGCCCGCAATTCCAGAAACATCCACTTAGGTGACCAAATCAGGGGCAAAATGGAATAAAGAAAATCAGGAGCTGTGAGTGTCTTCAAAAGGAACTGGGGCTTTCAAGGAAGGATTTTATTTTTTAAAAATTAAAAACTTTTATTAGTACATGTTTGCAGTGTACAAACGTGTCTGTATACATTCACCTTAGTAGGGGCGTGTGCTTGATATATTTTAGTTCTTTTTCATCCCCTTCCCTGCCCCTCCCTCTTTCCTCTCTCTGTCTCTACGTCTCCTCTCCACATTTTCATTCTTTCTTTTAGCTCATGTTTGTGACGCTTGGTGATTACATTCACTGTGGGTGGTCGGTCCATGCAAGGACCATCCTAACTATTGCTCTGCCCCCAGCCCTCCTCCCTCCTCCTGCTCCTCCTCCGCTTCATAAAAGGTCTTTCTTCCCGTTGCCTTTAATCCTTTGCTTTGCTCTGTGCTTGGTTTATGTTTTGGTTTTCCGAGAACTGGAACTTTCCTGGAACTCGCTCACTGCGTAGCCCAGGGTGGCCTCAAACTCCTGGCCTCTCTCTGTTTTATTCTTTGGATTGCTCACGTGACACACCACGTGGTACTTGAGCTTTTATGTCTACTTTATTTCATTTAGTATTATGTTTTCAAGTTGTATCCATTTCCCTCAAATCAAGCTTATCCTTTCTGGCCAAATAATACTACATTGAGTGTAAAACCGTGTTTCCTTTATCCATTAATGGGCACACAGGCTGTCTGGCTATTACGAGCTGAACTGCTATGCACACAGATGTGCATAGGTCACTGTAACATGATGTCTTTTTTTTTAGCTCTTGCAAGAAGATGTCCGAAAGGGGAATCAAATGAAAATTTTTATGTTTGGTTTTTGCAGATGGCTGTGAACTGGTTTCCATGGTGGCTGTACTAGTGTACATTCCCACTGGAGATGGAGGGTCCCTTTCCACCACGGCCTCACAGGACTTGTTGTTATTTGATTTCTTGATGATTGTTTCTTTCTGGAGTAAAACAAAATATCAGAGTTGTTTTACTTTGTGTTTCTCTAACGGCCAGTGATGCTGAACACTTTTTCACATGGCCATTTTATTGGCCGTTTGTACTTTGAGAAGTGCCTCTTTTATTTCAGATGCCCATTTTTGACGGAGTCTTTCATTGGAAAGGGTCTAATTTTGGGGGTTCTTTATAGATTCTAGATGTTAGTCCTCTGAGGAGTAACTGGCAGCACCCTTTCCCCATTCTGTAGGTCGCCTCTTCTCTCTCTGTTGTTTGCTGTGCTGTCAGGCATGGATTGTAAATCCATCTGTGAAGAACACAGACGCTGAGGGCCCCATGCTGCTGATTCTCCCTGAAGATTGGGTCCTGGGTCCAGCCCAGAGGCTCTGCCCAGAAGGTAAGCTGGAGAGGACTTGACCAAGGCTGTCCGTGTGGTCAGGCCTGTCACGCCAGGCCCCAGCCAGGCAGCAGGGAGGCCGGTTCCTCAGCCGGCAAAGAGGTGCCTGAGAGATGTGCTTCCCTTTTGCTGACTGCAGTCAGGCCAGAATCACTTTGGAGAACATTCTCTGCACCTTTCTGCCACTTTTTCAATCATTCTGTTTGGGGTTGGCATCGTGTGAGGCTGCAAGGTACCACAAGCAGCGTGGGCAGAAGCTCTTGTATGGGAAGCTGCTTGGGGAGGTAAACTGAAGGACATGTTCTGACCACCGCACAGCCCAGCAGGGACCCCAGGATACAAGCAGCTCATTTTTGATGACATATGCTACTATCATACGATTAGGAAACTGAAAACTTACCTGTATTTTATTTTATGATTTAGTATTGATTTTTTGAATTCATTTAATAATTTTTAAACTTTTTATTTTGAAATAAATATGTATTCCCAAGAAGTTACAAAGGTAGTGTCCAGAAGTCCAGCTAGTTTTTCTTGATGGTTACGTCTTAGGTAATTATAGTCCTACATCAAAACCGGGAAATAGCATTAATATGTATTGCTGGATAATCCCCCCCCCCCCCCCCGTACCAGGGATGGGACCCAGGGCAGTGTAGTATGAGTGGAAATGTGCCATCTGTGACCTTTTGAGGCTGGCTTTCCCCCCTCAACCTAATGCCCCAGAGCACCAGTCAAGTATACTAATATTTACCACATTGCATTTATTTATTTACTTTTACTTTTATTTTAGAATTAAACTAAGCAAAATAAAGCAGAACAAAGCCAATCAAAACAAGACAGTGTAAGTGATACAGGATTTCAAAACAAGGTAATAGGAAATCAACAATTGTTACCATCATGCTTTTTAGTGTCTTCAAACTCGCTGCCCATACCATCAGACATAGTAAAATTCAAACAAAACAGAAACAGAATAGAACCAATAAAAACAAAACAATGAATGCAATGAAAGACTTCAAAACCAATTGTAGTAAATCCAGAATGGCTACTGTAGATTATCTTGTTGTCTTTGAAACAGCTGTCCATGGCATCAGATACAAAGAAATCAAACAAGATAAAACAGAATAGAACCCAGCCAAACAAAACCACACCACCTTTTATTGCTCGGTAGTGTTCACGCTATGTGTGTCTGACCATTTAATCCATTAAGCGAGGGTTTTCCTTCCAGTTTTTGACTATTATAAAGACATCCACAATGAGCGATCATGCCCAAGTGTCATAAGTTTTTATTTATTGAAAATCACTGGGTCAACTAGTCATATGATGAGCAGGTATTTAGTTTTTAAAGAAGTTGCCGAACCCTTTTCCAGAGTGGTCGCACGGTTTCCTGTGCCCACCGGTGCGTAATCCATGAGAGAATTTCTCCACCGTTTGTTTTCGCAGCTCTAATGGCGGTGGCGGTGGCTCCTGCGGTCTTGTTTCGTGTCCCCCTAATGGCTAATGAAGCTCAGTGTCTCTCATGTGCTTTCCGCCATCTGTCTTCTCTTGGATGAAATGTCTCTCTGTGTCTGTTGTTTTTTATTTCGAGGGTTAGTATTAGTCTGATGGGAGGTGTGACAAGGAAACACAATTTTGGGGGGCTGTTTTTAGTGCTGAGTGGATACTAAAAATTGAAATTACTGATCTTAGAACACTCAGATATACACAACATGGCAGTTGTAGTTTATGTTCCCTCTAGTACATTTTTGGGTACCATTTCCATATATCTTCATAAATGTTTAGTGGTCTTAAGCTTCTTTTTCTGGTGCCAATTTGATAAGTGATACTAGTTCCAATTCTTCTTACCAGCATTTGTCTGGATATTAGTAAGGCCGAGCCTGTTTCTGCATGTTCTTGGCACCGTATTTACTCTTAAAGCTACCTGTTCATGGGCCAGGGGAGTAGCTCAGTGGAGAGAGCTTGCCTAGCGTGCATGTGGCTCTGGGTTTGATTCTTAGCACCGTGAAACAGAAACAAAACCAACTCTATTTATTCACTTGGTATCTTTTGAGGCAGTGTTTCACTAGATGGTCCAGGCTGCCCTTGAACTCACTTTGTAGCCCAGGCTGGCTTTGAATTTGCAACGATCCTCTTGCCTCAGCCTCTTGAGTACTGGGATTACAGGCGTGCACCACCATGCCCGGCAAACAAAACCAACTTTAATCACTCAGATAATTAATGAATTTTTCTTTATCGTCCTTATAAGAAAGGAAAATAATCAAAAAGGCTAATGTCCTCTTTGAATACTACCCTATCTCTTAACGTATCACCCCAAACATAGTAAGTTAAAATGACCATTGTTATCTGCAAGGTTAGCTGGGGAGTTGAACTGATTTGGGCCAACTCACTGGTGCCTCTGCAGCTGGTCGGTCCACATGGCCTGGGTTGGGGTAACTCTGTCCTTTGCACTTGGCTGTCATGTCCTCCTGTAACCTGGGAATGTTCTCATCACAAAGGTGCAAGAGACATGCAAGTACTTTTTAAAGAATTTTCTCAGGCCAATTTTTTTCCTTCCAAGGATTGAATTCACAGCTTCACACCTGCCAGGCAGTGCTGGTGCCACTGAGCTATAGCCCCAGCTCCTTAGGCCAATTTTGCCCCTGGCCAGTTGGCTAAAGCAGGTCACCTTGAGAGATAGAGGTAGACAAGAGGACGCCACTCAAGGCACAGCCACATGTTGGCGTGGATCTTTGAGGCTGTGAGTGCACTCAAGCTATGTAGCGTAATCCGTGCTTTGCCATCCATCTCTCTGCCATATGCAACATACACTGACTCCCATGCTGGGATGTCCAAAAGATGATCCACAGTCACAGCCAATAACACTTGGATCTAGGATCTCATGTGTACACCAGATGTGCATGTGGCTTCTGGGGTGCAGTGTCTCAGCCTGAGGACCTGAACTAAAAAGATGAGCCACGCCTCCTCGCTGTGAGGAGCTGGGGCAATGGATGCTCTCATCTGAAAAGGGGAGCGACAGGAGTGCACTACGTCACTGTGCCGAGCTGGGGAGGTGGCCAGCCTTCTGACTTTGGTAAGACCGCACTTTCCGTTCTTACTTCAGGGGTGGTGTGTGTCTCTTGATTAGCTCCCATTCTGGTTCATTGCAACTGGCTTTCTAGCCCATTATTTCTAGAACCCTTGGTTTCTCCCACTGAGCTCTCTTTATTTTTCCATCACATTCCTTGGCTCCATTTGAAAAGAAAGTAGATTGTTCCAGTAATTTCACAGCCTTCTTTCTGCAGTTGGAACAATTTCAACCCAGACTGGGGTGGTACTTAGGATGCAACATCTTCAAACACTTGGTGGGTTTTCAATGCATCTGATTCCATTTAACGCTATTGTCAAAGGCCCCAGCCAGAGTCCTGGAGAAGTTCATCTTTCCTATGCTTAGTCACTGCTGCCTTAGGCGAATGTGGTAATGTTAAGACTTCCTGGATTTCTGTTTGTCTAGCTGAGCGGAGCTCTAAGGCGGGATGGATACGGATTTATTCAAGTTTCTGCTTTTGCTAACCTTCCCCTGCTTGATTGGCCAGAGCAAATCACACAGAGTCACACTGAGCCAGAGTCAGTGCAGGTGAGCGACAGGAAAGGGCATGGCCTTGGGGAAGTATGAAACACGAAGGGTTTCAAAAGGTAATTTTGAGAAGTTTGATGTGATTTCTTGTGTGTGTGTTAGTTCATAAATATGAGCGGTAGTCTTTGTGCAGTGGCAGTATTTTAGCCAATAAGGTTTATCTAGGGCACAATTATTGCTAATTGAAAGCTTTTCCCAATACCCCACCAAGGCGACTTGAAATAAATGTGATCGATGTCCTTCTGCATCTTGCTATTTTCACTTAGTGATGTCTTTTTTTGTGATCTGTTCCTGTTAACTGCTATAAGGATTTCATTGGGTGAATATGAAGTGCGTTTTATCCAGCCATTTCTATGCTAAATGGACATTTAAGTTTCTCTAATTTTTTTATTATTACTATATTTCACATAGTCTAAGCTGTGCCATTTTCATTTCAACATTTCTGAGAGTTACAGTGTCTTACAAGTATTTGAAAGTGTATTCCACTGGCATGTAAAATAATGATGCATCTTGTAAAATCAGTATTATCTTAGGCTTGAGAAAATAAGGAGTAAACACGGATGATCCTCAAATCTTTTATACTGCCACCTTGCCAATGATTGATTCATTTCTAGAGGTTTTGCAATTTGCCAGTGTGATAAATGTAAAATTATCTCACTGAGCTTTTATTTATTTAACTTATTTTTTGGTATCACGGATTGAACTCACAACCTCACATTTACCAAGCAGGCACTTATGCCACTGAGCTAAACCCCTGGCTTCACTGAGGTTTTAAACGCAGCTTTTGATTTGTAGGTAGACTAAACACTGTCTTATATTTGTCAGCCATTTAGACTTTCTTTCTATGAGCTGTCCATTTATAATTGTCGCTCATTTTTATAGTATTTTCCTTATTGACTTATAGCATTTATCTATACATGATAGATGCTAATCTTTCATTAATACATTCAAAGTATTTCCTCCAGTCTAAAGTTTTTTTTATAGTGTTCCTTATTGTAAAGATAATTTAAAAGTCAGTCTTTTTAATGGTTTTGGATTTTTGTGACTTTGTTAAAAAAATTCTTTCACTCTACTACTGTTGCTTCTAGTAGTTGCAGCTACAATATTTTTTGGTACCGGGAATCGAACTCATGACCTCGTGCTTGCTAGGCAGGTGCTTACACTGCTGAACTGAATCCCTGGCCCCCTGAATATTCTTTTATGTGACAAAATATAGGTTAAGACTCCTGAGATGGGAGCTTGGCCTGGATTCTCTAGGTGTGTCCCGAATGTAGCCATAAGATCAGCGTGATAAGGACATGCTCTCGTATGGAAGAGTCAGCGTGGTTCCGGAGGCAGCTACTGTGGTGATGTGGCCACAAGCCAAGGGTACCAGAAACCACCAGAAGCTGAA